GAGGGGGGGTGCCAGTGTAAGGGGGGTGGGGGGCTAGTGGTGGCACTGAAACATGGTGCACTTGTGCATAGTTTTTATAAAAAGGGGAAAAGTGACGGGGGAAGTTACAGGCTTCCTGTCACCTTTGACCTTTTCAGCATGCCCATATATGGTGATGTGCTGGTGGGTCATTCTGACTGAAGAAGAGTGGAGAAACAGACAGAAGTTCAGGTCCATTTCCCTACAGTAATGGGTCTACCGTACAGACGATCTTTGCTAAGTGTTTGTAAAGTTGCCCAGTTTCTTTAAGTGCTCAGATCTTTCCAAGGCATCTCCTCTGTAAAATAGGTTGCCTTCTGAGGAAACTTATCTGCAATAAGGTTTTATTACCTCCTTGATATCTGCAGAAGACAGGACAGAGCCTGGCTCTTTTTGTCTCAGAAGACAGTCTACAGTTTGGAAAGGTGTTGAAAAAGACCATCTACATCAGAGCCTTTTGACCTTCACTAAACTGAAGTCACCTTCAACACACTACAGAAGTCACATGACCAGAGTCGTGGGTCAGTCCTTCTGAAGAAGGCAACAGAGCCGGCTGAAAATTTGCACTTTTTTGTGGTGCTGAAAGGATCATTTAGAAGTGAGGGACAGTTGAAAGGGTTGGTAAGTGCACCTCCTCACACCTCAAACTGTGCCTAATATCATAATGCAGTTCCATGTCTGAATGGGTTAGAGTTGGGATCAGACACAGGTCTGGATAGTCTTCATGTATCCAGAAACATGCCACAGGTATGGTTCTGGATACCCATGGATACAACATCTACTGAGACAGTTTTATAAGCCCGTTGTCCACAAAGCTGGACTCCAGGCTAGAACACCCTGCCCACCACAAATCAGTGCCACCACCAACAGTACTAGTGTTTGTGCAACATCACACACATACCAGGGACAGTACAGCACCCCCCTAACACACACACAGCACCCCCTTAACCCCAGGGGGGTGTACGACAGGGGGGGGGGGTCTGAGTTAGACTTAGAGAAGCAGAAGAGGAAAGTCTTGCCTGAGGAGTTGAGACTACCACCGCGTTATCCTTACTGCTCCCTCCGGCGCCTGAATGCATGCTGCTGTCCAGAGAGTGCTTCAGACGGGACATACAGGCATGAGACAGGCAGGCTCAGGTTAGTTATAGGTTAGTAACAGGTGGTTAACGGCTAGTTAATTAGTTAGTAATAGTTAATATTAACATGCAACAGGAACATGTGCTCACAGACTGGGACATGTAGAAACTTGATACTTTAGAATTTTTGACATTTGTAAAAAAAAAGGAAAAATGAATTTGGGAAGTCTGTTTACGAATGTCCCATGGGAAGCCTTACAGAAGGGACTTTTAAGAGCGTTGTTTCTATCACAAGGTACATGTTTCTACCTATCAAAATAGTCACTGATTGAGGAATATACTGTCTACGAACTAAACATTTTTAGTGTCATCCTAAATAGAAAGACATCAGCCAACATCTACCTTTCAGCAGTTAGCAAAAAAGTTGATATTGCACATTTTTAGTGCTGAGAACAAAAACGTCACTGCAAAAGAATGGATTTTCCCTCAACCTCCCAGTCTGCAAGCATGTTGACATCATCATAAAAGTGGTTAGTAGATTCTCAAACAAAAGTGCTTAAAGATACATGCAAAAGAGATAATAAGGCACTTCACAGTTTCAACTGCTCATGCGCAGTGTAATGCACTGTGGGTAATATGTTGAAGGCCCCTGATACAACAAAACACATCTGAAACATGTACAGCTAATGCTGACCGTAAAACGTTTGCTTTTGATTTTAGCTGGTGTAGAAAATGGTTTTTTAATGTTTTGCAGTTTATTTCTGTAATATCACTTCAGTCTTCAGGCTGTGACTGTTGTGATATACTTGATGTCATAATAAACCATTCTAATTGTTGATGTACTGTGTATTTGTTGTGTGTATTTTTATGTGTATCCAGGATTACCTGAAAAGCAGGCCAAAATGGTGTGATGCACTGTGGGTAATATTTCAAATTTGAAGACCCATGAGATACAAAAAAAAAACACTGAGACAATTAGCTAATGCTGACTGTAAAACTTTTGCTTTTGATTTTAGCTTGTGTAGAAAACTTTTTTAATGTTTTCAGTTTATTTCTGTAAAATCACTTCAGCCTTCTGGCTGTGACTGTTGTGATACAGTTGATGTCATAATAAACTCACCCACCCACTCACTCACTCACTCTCACTCACTCACTCACACACTAACTCACTCACTCACTCACTCACTCACTCTCACTCTCACTCACTCACTCACTCTCACTTACTCACTCACTCACTCACTCACTCACTCACTCACTCACTCACTCTCACTCACTCACTCACTCACTCACTCACTCACTCACTCACTCTCTCCCATAGCTTAGTCAGCCGTCGGGGCAGCATGTTTGGCCAAGTTTATAATAAACTATTGTACTAAAATTAATCCAAACATGTCTGAAGCATGGTCTAGACAAGATCTGTTAACAGGTTAGAAGCCTTCCCCTTTTACCCCACACATGTGCAGTTGAGACTGTGAAGTGGCTTATTGTATGAGTGCAGACATCAACATGTATAATCATGTGATGGTTGGAAGTTCAAGGGCAAGATTTAACACTAGGCACTACTTGTAGGGGAAACTCTGATCGTGTTAAAAATGTGATCAACCGAAAAAGTTGAATGTCATTACTGGAAAGAAAAGAAGAGGTGGAAAAAGTAGAAAATCCGGGATTTGGGAAATCAAATGAAAATTGAAACTTCACATGTTAACACAATAATTATCATACTTGCACCAATACACATAACGTTAAATATATACATTGTCATATTCATAATGTGATATCATCAAACTATTCTGGATACATGAATTATTACATTCATGCTGTATTTCCCATGCATTATAAACCTAACAGTAACAACTTTTCTGCTAAACTATGGAAGACTCTACTGGAAGACTTATGATTGGAAGACATGGAAGTTTTCAGCAAAGGTTCCAACTTCTAAATCATAACAATTTTCATGTATAACATATCAATAAGACATCCAAAAATCAGGAAGGCTTTCACTGAAAATGTTGAAGAAGTGGGTGGTTATGGGGGGTCTGGGAGTGTTTTTGTTTATTGTTTATATTTATTGTTTATGTTTGCATCTTACCGTGTCGACGGCCTCGAACGGTTGGCTAATCTCCTGGTCTTCGTCCACCCCGACCCTGGGAACACACGGGAATAGTCAGACTAATAAACAAAGAAACAAACAGACATGCAAATACGCACATACAAACATCATACACATGGGGACAGTCAAACAAACACACAAATATATGGAAATAGTCAGACAAACAAACACACCTGTACACATACACAAACACACATATGGGGGAACAGTTAGACAAATAAACACACACAAACATACACAAATAAAACATCAGGGGAAAGAGTCAGAAAAACATGGAAAAAATAAACAAACTTGTAAACACATATCGGGGAACAGTCAGGCAAACAAAGACACAACACTTATTGTCAAAGGTGACTAGACAAGCCATCATTTATTCCCTCCATCACCATGGAGACAGGTCAGTAAACAAATTTACTGGTTGCCATGGAGACAGGGTCACCTGATTTTGAGCCAGGTCAGCATCTGCAGGGTCAGGCTGCCACAGAACAGCACGGTTACCATGACGATCATGAGTGTGGTGGTGAACATCAGCTGTCTCGCCCCCGCTGACGTGCTGCGGATCGCCAGCGCGAACGCCACCGCCCCTCGTAACCCTGGCAACGATAGAACAGTGGTTACCATGGTGATGTGGCATGTTAGTGCTGTATAACATTCACACTATGACTGCTGTTCCCAAATGACATTCATACTGCTATTCCTGACAGTGCTTTCCCTGGTGCTGAATGACCTTCACACTGCTGTCCCTAATGCTGTATGACCTTCATGCTGCTGTCCTTGGTGCTGAATGACCTTCATGCTGCTGTCCCTGGTGCTGAATGACCTTCATGCTGCTGTCCCTGGTGCTGAATGACCTTCACAATGCTGTCCCTAATGCTGTATGACCTTCATGCTGCTGTCCTTGGTGCTGATTGACCTTCAGGCTGCTATCCTTGGTGCTGAATGACCTTCACAATGCTGTTCCTGGTGCTGAATGACCTTCATGCTGTTGTCCTTGGTGCTGAATGACCTTCACACTCACACTGCTGTCCCTGGTGCTTGGTGACCTTTGTGCTTATTTCCCTGGTGCTTGCTACATTGATACTTGCTACAATCACACTTGCTACATTCCCACTCACCTGAAAACATCATCATGTTCTGGAAGTTGAAGTTGATTTTCTGGTGTCGGCCCAGGTTTAGCAGCAGGGTCAAAGGGTAAATGTTACACATCCTGCCTAGACCAATGGCAAGCTGGGGCAAAGGTCAAGGAACATACCATTTATCTTGCGGGGGAAAACAACACATTCACGCATCTCTTTCTCTACTTAGTAATATTCTCTACTTTGTAATTTTTTAGTTATTTCGCATAATTTTTTTACAGCCGGGATTCGAACTCCGAACCTTTTAGTCCAGAGGCAGGATGGCTAACCACTGGACTACGCACGCTACGACTATTGAAAGATGGAACAACAACAGCCGTAAGGATACGAAAGCTGCTGAAATGAACCCTCCCTTCCACTGGTGGTGCTGGAAGGTAAACACAGACACACCCATGTACGAGAAAATGAAGTTCTCGGCCAGGAAGTTCAGCAGCTCGAACAGCTGCTTGGTGCGAGCCTTGGACTCCTCCGACAGGTTGTTGTAGGTGTAGTGGGCCTGGGTGATGCCGCAGAATAGAACAGCCACGATACCTGCAGGGGGTAAAATGGGGGGTGATGACGAAGACAAGAACAGCCACCATGCTTCTCTACATTGACTTTACTCTTCGTAATCGAGTCTTTATATTTGCATGTTCATGCCCATGGAGCTAAATGCATACATCAGAGTGTGATTTTACATGTACATCATACTGAGTAACATGATACATAGGATACAAGGACAACAGAAAAACGTAAAAGTCTTAATCAACAACTACTAGAGAATACATACATGTACTATCTAATAATATACAGTTGTACAATGTAGACTCAGTAGCTGTGAGACATCAGAAAGAACACGCAGGTCTCCAAGGGGGTTCTCGGTCCCCAAGACCCCCCTGT